CACTCATCTTTACCGCACGCTAATTATAACGATTTATTTAATGCATCTTTTGATAAATTTATTAAATAAATTTCTGACACAATTCCTTTCCTTGCTATAATTCACGCTTTATTTTTTTTGCGAATCGAATGTCACTTTTGAATTTCCCAAGAGCAGCATAAATTGTTTTTCGCTTGACATAAGTAATTTTTAATTTTAATTTTAACTTAAATTCACAACATAATTTACAAAAAAAATTTGAAAATGATGTGGCAAATTATAATTTATTACCAAAAAGAAATGAATCCAAATTTTTTCGAAATTTTGTAAATGAAAATTGTTTATGGAGATCGGTTCACTTTTCTTCTCAACTTTTATTGTCTTTTTGCTTTATTATTGTGACAATAAGCAAAAAAATCATCTTTTTTGTCCTTACTTTTGGAAAAAAATATTTTATGCCATGTTGCTTTTTTTCTGCACAGTAATCTATTTCATTATCATTCTTCCCCTTCGAACTCAACTCAACATTTTAAGTTTGGTCTATTGGCTTACAGTTCGTCAGAGAGTCGACATAGATTCCAAATTGATTCCCCTTTTTATTCAGTTTCTCCGTTTTCGCTCACTACAGTTTAAATTTCACTATAATTTAAATGATTATAATTGTCATTTTTCATTGTTTCTACTGAAAAGTTAAAAGCTATTTAAATTTAAATTTTAATTTTAATTTTATTATTAAATATTCTTATTTTTTAAAAAATTATTATTGCTTATTAAATATTATTAAATTCTTGAAAATTTGGAAATGGTTAAATGGATTTATCCATAAATAATACGATATTAATGATTTAATGCTAATAAATCGCCTAAATATATTTAACTTTATTCTCCGAGTGCTTCTCTATTAATTCTTCTTACTTTAGAAAGGAATTTCAGTATTGAAGAATTTCAGGTATTTTTTAAGAAATTTCTTGAAAAAACATAATATGCGATACGGTTAATTATTTAATTATTCTGCTTGTTAATTATTCTGAAACAGTGGGTTTCACTTGAGGTGACATATTTGCTTCCGCAGAAAACAAGACTAACCACGAAGACTATTTCTCATAAACAGAGTAATTTATAAAATTAATTTATAAAATTAAAATGTATAAAATTAATTTATTGAATTCCAAAAGTAACTAATTCATTTATTGGTGATAACAAAAATCTTTAAGAAATCCACCAAAATTACAAGTTAATTTAAGCGGCCACGTAATGGATGAGTTGAGATATGCCAATACGTAAATTACAAATGAATTCTAAACGGATTTATGTCATCTCTCCGAGGCTGAAATCAAAAGGCTGAAATTTATAAACAGTAAAAAACTATTAAGTGTCAAAATCAAGTATGAAAAGGATCTCATAATTAAAATGATGAGGTTAAAATGAGGTTAATACTCACTCATCTAATTAGAGTCGCTCCACTGTATGTTAGTTTAATTTGAAATTTTATCTAAGGAGTCACATGGAAATAGGAGTGCAAGTGGCTGCCCATTACTACTTGGAACTTTTAATGACAGGCTTGCTCTTATTCAAGCCTTAATGTTCGAGATAGTCTGAGCATTTAACTATCCTGGATGAAACAATTTAATAATAAAAATTTAGAAATTCTAAATTAAATTGGACATGTAGAAGCAGAAAAAGAGGAAGAAAAAATTTAATTTTCGAATTTATTTGAATATAAGAATTTCAAAATTAAATTAAATAGTTACACGGGTTTTCTAAACATTCACTAATTGAATTAATGACAATTTTGGAACCTATAGTTCTCCATTTGCTTCGTTCTTCACACTTAGCCAATTAAATCTATCTGATGTTGGAGATCGGCTTCTACTATTATCCCGATTGACTCTTTGCCGAGAGCCTTTCACTTTAATAATGAAATTTCAAGTGCAGTTTAAAGAAAGAGAAGGTTCAGCTTTATTTTAAAATGCAAATTACGAATATTTCTCCATAATAATTATTCTATGAAAATTTATGTAAGAAATTGAGGGCTTCGAAAAACCTTATCCTTGTTATTGGTATTTCTCATTATCTTTCTTAATTGGTATTATACAATTCGGAATTTGAATATTTATTTATCTTTTTGTAAATATTGATTGTTGATTGTTTGAGCCAAGAATTTTAATGATGCCTAGCAAAGAAAGATTTGAATTTCAAAAAAAAGATCAAAAAAATCAAAAAAAGAAAATTTATCTGAAAAAGAATCTCGTTATCCATATTCGATTTTCTTATTCTTTTCGTTGCAATTTTAATTTCTACTTTTTTCACCTCTGCACTTCCTAAAAACAGCGCTTGACGACATTTCTGATTATCCTCCATCATCGCTGCCTATCATAAATTTGCTAATTATTATTAATAAAAATTTTTGTTCACAAGTAGATCATCTCTTTTTTAGGAATAGAAATATGTATTAAATGATATTGAAAAATTTAATGACTATAGCTGCACAAGAAATTAAGTAATTGGTTTATTGTATTTAATATAAATATCGACTAATTTTAAGTTATCACCATTTTTTAAATTTTTTCACCTCAATTCTTTTATCTTTATTTGCATTGGATTTTTACAGAAAATTTTTGATTAATTTTACTACATCGTAATTTAGCTAATATTTTTTTTTGAAGAATCCTCAAGATTACTGGTTAAACTCGCTCCACTGGCTTGATTGCATTGGGCAATATACCAGGGAATATCTCTAGTCGATAGAAATATAGATGAGTCGCCAGCATCACTCGAATTTTTGTACAGGTTTACTCCTGTGGGGAATCGAACCTCAACGTCGGTACTCCCAATTGAGCAACAACCCATTGAACCATCCTGCTCCCTCTCCTCCCAATTCAGTTAATATATTAATTAAGTATCACTTATTTGAAATTCGTATCGTAAAATTAATGTAAAATAACCATATAAGGAAATTAGTATCGAATCATGGATGAAAATATTGATTTTGACCTTCACTGCAAAACTATAGTAACTATAGTAAAAAACTATAAAACTATAGTAAAAAAATCTTCAAAAATACTAAATTTTATTTAAGAATAAAACTGAAGGTTTTCTTAAAAATTTACAAAGCGTTTACACCACCCGACAAAGCGTTCGTTCGGTCTTTTCTTGTTACTTTACTTCCCGAGATACCGTAAATCAAGTAAAATAATTGAAGGACTCCAGAAATATTTTACATTTTATATATTTTATACGCCTCTTTCCCAATAGAAGTTTCAGTTATAAGACACAACTTTAACAACCTAGAATACCTCTCAATTCGTCGAATTAAACAAGATTTAATTTATACTTATATAATTTTATATGGTTATGTTAAATTAAAATGTTCAAAATATTACAATTTTAGGTTAAATTTGAACCCAGCATGATCTCATGGGCTAAAATTGCAACATTCATTTCGAATTATATTTTTTTATAACTTTTTATTTTCTCTTTATTAAATACTAAAACCTATATATAGAACTAAACTACGGATTCATGACTTCTTTATTCGTGCTGGAATAAACTACCGAATGAAGTAGTTTGTGCGCTTTTCTTAACTATTTTTTAAAAAAAAATTGGATAATATTATTTAAAAAGTTCACATTATGCAGTAAGTTTTATTTTTTACCATTCTATAGTGTATAAGTAATACATTCACTTCGAATTATACTATTTTATAACTTTTTACTTTTTTTTTATTAATTTTTGTTACATTCTCTTTTTTTATCGTTGATTTTCATTATTTATTATTTTAACTGTTGTTAATATAAGCACATGGCGCTTGCCACAATGCCTGGTTGTTTTTCAATAAATAATAGTTAAATGCATATGTATATATATATATATATATATATGAAGAGGAACTATAGAAGATGTGGAAAGTGAAGGCCAAAGTAATACCTGTGATAATTGGAGTAGTTAGAAATCCTTAAACTATAAAAGTGGCTTCAACTATATTCCAAAAATAACATCAAATAACATCATATTCCGTCCAGATGAGAGCACTGCCTAAAATATTGCGTGGAACCTTCAATCTTCAAGGCCTTTGGTATAAGATTCGATCTTGAGGATCTCCTTGTCAAGATGAGAAAGGGATTTTTTTGTATAAATTTTCTAGGAAGATTTTTCCCTTTACAAATTGTTTGCATAAAAAATTTTTTAAAAAACCTTCAAATTCTTCTTTCTTCATATTCTTCTTTTTTTGAGAATTCTATGTGAAAAAAAATATTGGCAATTATTTAGTCTCTTAATTAGTTCAATGCATCCCTCATCCCTCGTCAATATTTCTTCATCAATAATTTTAATAGCTTATTTTTTTTTAAAGTAGAGGTACCACACCATTACCTGTTAGTTTTAATATTTCTTATTTTTTAAATACTCTCGCATTTTTGAAGCAAATGAATGAAATATAAAGTTCAATGCAATATAAAAGAATGAAATAACATATCTACGGATCGTCAGTTGTTTGACCGTTAGTTACTATATTAAGGTTTAAAACGTTGAATAAATTATATAAAATATAGCAGATATAGAAGTTTTAACAACAGTCAATTCCAATCATTGATAACGATCCTTACTGTTGTCGTTTCTTTCAAATGAATTATCTAATTTTTTTAACAACTGTTCTTTATGCAACCTATTGATTCGCTAGAAATTCATATATCTAAAAATTTTAAAAAAATTAACAAAAGTTAAAGCTTCTTAAAATAAGAACGGAATTTTAAGACTTTTTTGAAATGTTTTATTTTATTTATTATATTTTATATGTGTAACTGGTTGAAAATTTTTCGCTTACTTTTTTTCTCATACTTTGTCCGGTGCAAATAAGTTTGAAAAAAAAAACGAAAAGGCAAATTTCAATTTTAATTTTTGTCTGGTCTATAATTTAATATATAATTTCAGGTTGTTGCCTATTGCCTGGAGCTAAACTTGATAAGTTTATCAGCAATTTTTTTAATTCTTACTAATTTTTTGGTATAGAAAGAAAATTGGCGATGACACATGTCGAACCATCTACTGAATCCATTGAACGTTATTCATTCGGTTATACAACGGAATTTTCGAATCAAAAACCAACGATTACTGCGAAACAGTTGTGTCAAAGATTACAAAGTCAAGAATGTGCTGCAAGTTAGTGCATCTTTTGCATCGGTAGCCTTCTTACAACCTATTTTTTTTCCTCCACTTAAGTAATTTTTATTAGCCTTCTTCCTTTCATTTTCTTCCTTCAAATCTTTTAAATCCGTTTTTTATTGTTCCATGCACATGTATTATTTCTTTGCTTTATCACTTTTTTGATAAACTATCAAAAATCGTAAAAAGCATAATTCAATTATTCCTTGAAAAGTCGTCATTTTAATCACAAGCTTATTTAGAAATTAGTCTGAATGATATTCCTGTCAAGACTTCGCGTGATTCTTCATCATCATTATTATCATTAGTTAATTGCATCGCTCCACGATAAATTTCTATTTCTTTTATTATTAATTACTAAATTACTAATTCATTATTATAAAAAATTCTTATTTGAAAAGAAAATTTAATTTGTTGATTATTATTGCTTTATTGTATTTGTACCTTAATTTTTCTACCTTTATTTGAAGTTTATTCAAAAAAAAATGGATATCACGAATATCAATTTTTGAATTTATATCCCCCACTTTTTCCAGATTCATCTCAAGCCGGTAAATGTATTGAAAATATCCTAGAAGCCATTATTCAATTCAGTTTATTTCCTGGAACGCAATTTCAAACTGTGACGGTCCACAAAATTCTTGATATTCTATTAGCCTCGTATTTTTCATAATTTTTTAAAGCTGTACTTAAAAGCTAAATCGCCAAATTGTAGTGAGACCGAATTTTTGGCTACAATTAATTGTTGCTGTCGACGATTTTTTTTTGAACCCCCTCTAATACAACGCAATTTAAAAAAAATTTATTCATCTGACTAGTATAGATCATACGAATTTTCAGTAAAAAAAGATAGCAAACATAGAAAATGTATATGAATATCAATTTATATATACGAATATACACTAATAATCTCTTAATATGTTATCTTTTTTTTAAAAATCGAAAGAATGAATGACTCTCATAATTAATTATATGGTTATTTCGGATAATTTATTTCTATAATTTAAAATTCGAAGAGCTAAATAATTTTAATTTCTTAATTGTAAATTGCAAAGTTGTGTTTTGATATATATAGTTTCAGTCCATTTGACCTGATTATAATGTTTGCAAAACAATTTTTTGAAAGAAAGAAATTTATCACAATTAGACCAATTTTATTCCTCACCTTTTTTTATTAAGAGCCCTCTCCATTACTGGTTAGACTCGCTCCGCTGGCTTGTCATACAAATATGCCAGAGATCCTTGGCGATAGAAGTACCATCATCACCCAGATTTCTGGACAAGTTTATTGAGGGTAGAATCAGCAATCTGACTCGAGTAATTATCCATTGAACCATTATATCCCTCACAGACTTCTTTGTTACGATTTATTGCAGTTATTCTATCGAGAAAATATTTTTAAATATTTTTTATTTATTAATAATATTAAACCTTCCTGTCTTCTACGGTAATATAATCTATTATGACCAAATATCGAATAAAAATATTATAAATGATCTAATATTTACTCATGCAACACGATGGTGTTCCAGAGAAAATTAATCAGACTCACAAACTTAATTAGATGCCAGCGTATATGGGGAATTGAAAGAACTAATAGGCACAGGTGCATACTAAGGTTCTCCATTCGCCAGAATATTGCCTGTATTAAGAATATCTTCACAAAATGTCGCCAGTAAATCTGTCTTGCAACTATTGCACTTGCAATATTGTTATTTCAATATTGTTATTGTTATTTCATGCTTTCAACGGGATATCAGGTTTAGACGAGTAATGTGGCTACTGCATTTAGGAGCATTAATTGTTCGATTCCCATGGTCCAGGAATATCATTAAAAAACCAATGGCGATCTATTTATTTTTCTTTCGCCAGTGAGACCCTGGCATTTCTAATTAAACTAGTAAAGAGAAACGGTGAGCGCTTAAGTTTTACCTTGCAATGTAGATGCTTGCAAGGTAAAGAATATGAATACAAATGTCATAATTGCTTTCCTGGTTTATTATTCCTAAGCTGGCGTGACTCTAAGTTATATACTATGGTATAAGTTTTGTTTTATAATCAATAGTACATTTCGGTGTATATTTAGTACATTTATGATGCAAAAATTTCCATATCTTCAATCATTTCATTTGATCTAAATAATATATACTGTATCTATATTCTAAGATTATTCCAGTTGCATATGGTACTTTTCAACAAAAATTTCAGATTTTATGACTAATTGCTATTAGAATTATGTACTTCGGTGAGAAATCACTCATATCTAAGATAGAGTGTATGTTTTATAAAATTTAACGAAGAAGTTTTTCGTTCTGTTTTAAAATGATGGGGACATTAAATTCAACATTTTTGAAGCCTTCTTAACTTCGTTCTAATTGTGGAGATTGAAATAAAAGTTCTTAGTCCACGGTTGTAACGAAATCTTTTATTTTACCAGCATGTTTAATGGGATTATTACTTGTTATGGAAAATTAATTGCGGAATTTTATCAAGCCCAGCAGATTCTTCAGGCTTGAGTCGCATTACAAATATCTATAAAGTAATGTCGATATTATTAAGTGAAGTGTAAGTTAGAAAATGAAATAGTTAATAATTAAAATATTCCTCAAAACATGCCCTTTGCTATGCTAGAAATTTAAATATATTACGCTGAATTCTTTAGAATGAGTGTTTATCTTCGCTGAAAATGTTGTTTATCGTCTTCATGGCCTTTCAATATGACTGAGGTTTTTATGCGGTATACATAAATTTTATTCCAGTTGCATATGGTACTTTTCAACAATGATTTCAGATTTTATGACTAATTGCCATTAGAATTATGTACTTCGGTGATTTGTCAGAAATCACTCATATCTCTCTTTTTCCTGCCAATCTTTACAGGAGTATAGATGATATTGCCTCGATTAAAACCAAACAATAATAGGTTCGATTCATTTTCATCCATGAAAAAGTATAGTGCAATACGGATTTCTAACGAAATAATTATGATGGTAACATAAAACTGTGAAAAAAATAAATTCTGCAACAGTCAAGTAAATTAATATTATTAGCAAATAATTTTTTTGTTAAAATCAGCTATTTTTAATGGCTTAAAGCAATTAAATTTAATCTGAATTTGAGATATCGGATCTTAAAAGCACTAATATAAATAAAAGATCCACATTTACTTGGTTACATAATGTTTGTTCAAGCTTAATTTAATAGAAAGTAGTAAAAGTTGATAGACGGGAGGCTTTTACGAATGAATTTCCGGACAATTAGTTTGATACTATATGATATTAAATTTCTTTAAGCAAATAGACTTCTGATATGATATTGCTAATCGACTTTGACGTCGATCTTTCTATATTGTGACTTAGCTTTTATTTCAAAAACAAATATTTTTAATGAATTTCTACCAAATATTTATATTTTTCACTTGCTTGTTAAATTATCGTTTTTTTGTCCTATTGACAAATACAAACTCAGTCGCTTATCTCCACTTTTTTAATGATTGCACACTTTTTATTTCTTCCTAAAAGAAATATTAAGTTTTAATGAAAGAATGAATTGGCTAAATGAATGATAATGCTTGCAGAAAAAAGGATGGATGAATAATAACACAACATTTTTTTGCCTTTCATTTTAAAATATCTTGCATACATAAACTTGTAAGTTCAAAATTGAGACTGGTAGTGCTCGTTATTTTTTCTGGTTAAGAGCCTGCTAACTAATAAACCTGTTTCTAAAAAATCTGGGTTTTGCTAAGAACTTACGCATATTTCTATGTCCAAGTAACTCTGATAAAATTCTCTCATCTTACTTAGCAATCAGTTGAGCGAGCCTAATCACTTATAGATTTTTTTAAAAGAATAGAAATAGTATCTACTAGAAATAGAAAATTGTTTTTAGACACAATTAACCAAAAATTTAATTTACTCATATCTAATTTTTAAAGTGTTTTTCTGTCAAAAAAATTTAGGAAAATCTATTTATTCTGAGCAATAAAAGAAATTATTGAATTAAAAAATGATTCTTTAATGAATTTAATTTTAATTATTCATATTTATTTAATAGATTTATTTGTTCTGGTTTTCATAATTTGAATTCACTTTCTTCTTTAAATTCGGAAAATTTTGAATTTTTTGATTCAATTTTTTTTCAGAAATGTTAAATTGTGTAAATTGTAAGTCTAATCAAAAGCAAGCAAAGCCTTTCTTAACAATTTTTTTTAAAAGAGTCCTCACCATTACTGGTCAAACTCACTCCACTGGCTCGTCACATTGGGAAATCTGCCATGGAGTCCCTCGGCGATAGAAATACCGGTGAGCATCACCCGGATTTTTGTACAGGTTTACTCTGCTGGGAATCGAACCTTAGCATCGGCATGCCTAATTGAGCAACAACCCACTGAACCATTCTATCCCCAATTCTTAACGATTAATAAATCATAAATCTATTAAATAAATATCAACAATTAAAATTAAAAGAGGCGTTAAGAATTAATGAAAGAATGAATTAGCTAAAACATCAAAGAATAATCTTTTTTTTTCTAAAATTCAAAACCACTATATTATTTTACTCCAGTAACATATGGTAATAATTCAAATTTCATGAATCAAATTTCGTTTCCAAACATTCAAAACATCATTATTTCATTATTCTATAAAATATTTCAGCTTCATAAGCTTAAGATAATAAGAATTCAGAAGAAGATAGTCTTCAGACTGAACTTTTTAAACATTATCCGTCTTCCTTCATAAGACATTTCAAAAGATGTATTCTATGGTATGGAAGAAGAAGAAATAATACCAAATGACTGGAGCAAAGCAATTATTGTGACAATTGTGACATATGGTGACAATTATCGAAGAAACTCGACAACCTATGGAAAATTTGTTCAATCCCTTCTATTCAGCAGATTTGTAGCAGTGCTAGAAAGCATGCGCCATAACCGCTACGTCGTTATGTTGACTAGATATTCATATTAAGAGGGATGTTGGAACATCACTCCAAATATCTGCAACCCACTGTCCTTGTCACCCAACAGGCTTTATCGACTTCAGTGCAGCCACCTTCGATTTAGTTGATAGAATGGCGCTTTGGACGAAGATTGAACGCGACGTTGTTCGAGAGAAGATCATTCCATACATAAACGCACGTGAGCGCAGGCCTGTGTATATGGGGAATTGATAAACACTTTCGAAATAAGAACTGATATCCGTCAAAGTCCTTTCCCTACAGTATTCAACTATACGATAGATTGGATAATGTACATACACCGCTTGTCGGCACTCAAGAGGTGTCCAAATCAGTCCAGAGCATCATATTACATATCTTGAATACGCTCAT